GGAATGAGATGAGGAGCACCCCACAGCTCCTGGGTGGCTGAACCCTGCTGTGTTGGTGCTGCCTGGGCACCCATGGCCCGGGACAAAAATGCTGCAGGCCCCCCCAGGAAGAGAAGGGCTTCCCATTTTGCTGTATCCCCAAAACCCTGCTGCTCCTGAGATTGGCCTCTGGCACTGGGGAAAGCCCCTGTGGCACAGGGCTGCCATCCTCCTCGAGCTCCCTAACCTCCCTGGGTTAGGAAAACATGGAGGAGGCAGGTTTGAGCACCAAAGCAGGGATGTGCTGATGGGCACCTCCTTAGCAAAAGCTTCAGGTGGGGTGTCCAGCAGATCTCGACCCGTTCCTGCTACCCCAAACTTCCCTGAACCCTGTCGAAGCTCCTTGCACACTTGCAACATTCCCAGCTGGGAGGAGAGAGATTCCATGCCTGGTTATGTATCTGAGTGCTACCACAACAAATGACAGTCAAACCAGAAAAAAAAACCAACAGCAGGAGATGCAGGGAGGTCAGGAATGTGAGCAAGGAAGAGCAGGGGGAGAGATTCCCTGGCTTGGGAGAGTTAAGCTCAAATGTAGAGTTTTGCCAAACTCTTGGAAAGACTTTCGTGTGCTCTGAGGAACGTCACCAGGAACCAGCCCCTATAATAAATAGGGAATGGCTTGGAAGGGGCCAAGGATGACTCTAGGGAGAGACAGGGAGAGAAGCACGGGGGGCTGGCACCCCCAGAGTGCACCCACTGGGCTGGATCACTCCAGCAGCTTCCTGGCAGCCAAGGCATTTCCCTCTGGCTGAGCTGGAAATGCCCCAGGAATCCCTTGATCTGAGGGGGTTGTGGCTGCACTGAGGACCCCAGTGACAGCTCCCCTGCTCCTCTGGCCTTCCCTCCACTTTGCTGTGGCTGGGTGGCTCTGGTGGGCACAGCACAGAGACAATGACTAACCCTGCAGTGTGCTGCTCTCTCGGGCTCCAACCCATGTGGAGGGTGCTCTGGGCTGCCCTCAAGACCCACCCCTGCTCTGGGGTACTCACCACCCCGATGGAGAAGTAGTTGTTGATGATGGTAGATGGAACAGGGTCCCCGTTGGTCTCCCTGTCACTGGGAATGACGTCGATGTGCCAGCGGTCCAGCATCACCTCCGTGCTGTGCTCAATGTCCTTCAGGACCTTCATCAGGTTGCCTCCTTCATAGCCTGCACGGGAAAGGAGGTTGGACTCGATGATCTTCAAGATCTTCTCCAACCAAAAATCACAGAAACACAGAATGGTTGGGGTCGGAAGGGACCCCTGGAGATCAGAGAGTCCAACCCCCCTGCCAGAGCAGAATTCCCTGGGGCAGGTCACCCAGGAACACATCCAGGCAGATCTTGAATGTCTCCAGAGAAGGAGACTCAGCAGCCTCTCTGGGCAGCCTGTCCCAGGGCTCTGTCACTCTCACAGTAAAGAAGTTTTTCCTCACGTTGAGATGGAACTCCCAGTGTTCCAGTTTTCATCCATTGCCCCTCGTGAGTGTCGGAGGAGAATGAATGATGACAAAGGGGAGCACAGACATGTCATGGGGGGCAAGGGGTAGTTGGATGCTGAGCCCCCAGGGCTCTGGAGGGACACAAGTGGGATGCCCAGCCAGAGGTTCCAGCTAATGCCATGTCTCTCCCAGATAAAAAAGCCTGTTGGGCAGGACCCAGCTGAGGGGGGTTTGGAAAGCAGGGGCTGCTTTCTTTGGGAGGGGTTAGAGGCACCATCAGGAGGCACCAGGGCTAAGATGCAGCCCCGAGCCTTGTCCCAGGAGCCCACCCTCCTCCAGAATGGCACCCACCCAGCTGTACCAGAGGGTCCCTGAGGGCTGGCTGACCCCCCCAGGTAACGCTTGCCCAGCCTCACCTCCTCCCCAGCGCAGGCACCGGGCCAGGTCGTTGCCAGTTCCCAGGGGCAGAACAGCCACCGGCGGGTGCTTCACCAGGTTTGCCTTGTCTGTCATGTGGGGGGAGAAGAGACATTTCTGGGGGCTGAGAGGGCTTCTTCCCTGCTCCTCTCCATGGCCCTCGGGCCGTGCTGTTGGGCAGGACCCCCATGGTGATTCCTCTCCCTCTTGCCAGGGGAATTTTGGGGCCCCAGAGCAGATTGCCAGGGAGGTGGGTCCAGGATTGCCAAGGATGCTCTGCAAGGAGCACAAGTGCTCACCTATGCAGTCCAGGATCCAGCCCACTGTGCCATCCCCTCCACAGGCCAGGACACGGAAATCCGGAGTGCCCGGGAAGAAGCTCAGCCTGGAGAAAGCCAAGAGAGATCAAGGGGTGTTGGAGGGGGGGGGCGGGGAGCAGGGGCTGGAGGGAAGGGGCAGAGGATCAGCTGCAGCATCTCCCTACCCTGGGGCAGGCCCACCCCGATCCAGGTTGTACACTTGGCGTGGGTTGAGCAGGTAGTGGAATTTCCGGAGGACCCTGGGAAAAGGGAGGAGTGAGGGGGCACTGCAGAGGAGATTTTCCCTCCAGGAGAGGTGCTGGTGCAGCCAGAGGGACCAGCAGCCCCTGGCCACAGGGGAATGCTGTCCCTGGGCAGGACCCCACCTACCTCTCCCCTTGCCTTCCTCCACTCTTGGGGTTCACAAGCACCAGGAGGGGGTGAGTCCCAGGCCTGGGGCTGATCTGGAGAGCAGGAAGTGCAGCTGTGAGTGCCTGGCTGCTGTGCACCCGTGATGGAGCCCCCCAGCAACCCAGGCCAGGATCCCTACCTGCAGGCATTGCCCATCCACCGTGGTGGAGTTGAATTTGAAAGCCTGGTTGTCCTCAGGGCTGGGGCTGGTGCTGGCAGGGGAGTCACTCTCTGACCTGCGGCAGTGGGACTGCCTGTCCTTTGGGAACAGAGGTGTGGGTGTGCAGGGTGATGCTTGGCAGGGTTCCCTGCCCCCCTGGCCACCAGGAGGGGGAGAACTTACCAGGACAACAGGGCAGATGTAGGAAGGCAGCAGGATGTGGTCCCGCAAGGGGCCCCCGTCGCACTCGGGCTTCACGTGGGAGGCACATTTGTTGTGGAGCTGGAGGGGGTGGGAAGAAAGGGACATCAAGGCAGGGGAGGTGGAGCCATCAGCTGTTTGTGAGCCTCTGCCCCCCCCAGAGCCCTGGTACTCACGGTGACTTGGCACCAGACACAGTGCAGGCCAGTGATGCCCTGGTAGCACTTGATGCTCTTGTGGCATCTGTCACACTTGATGGGGGAGTTGCCCTCAATCCAGGTGTGCTGCATCACCTGGAAGGCACAGGGGGGAAGGGGGGGCCTGGCAGGCACAGCACCCACAGGCACAGCTGTGTCCCTTCCCCACTAAGGGCTGCTGCTGTGATTTCAGAGGGTGACTGATCCAAACCAGCCTCTTGCAGGGCCACCTTCCCTCCCTGCTGCTCCATGCAGCACACTGGGGATGCTGAGGTCCCCACCCAAAGCAATGGCAAACCTTGGGGTGGGTGGGGGTCCTGTGGGGGTGCCCAGGGCCTGGCAATGGGGTCAGGGAAGGGCAGGGAGGGAAGGCCTGAGGAGCAGGGGAGCTCTCACTGGAGTCCTCAGTGCAGCCACAGCCTCCAACCCACCCAGATCAAGGGATTCCTGGGGTATTTCCAGCTCAGCCAGAGGGAAATGCCTTGGCTGCCAGGAAGCTGCTGGAGTGATCCAGCCAGTGGTTGCACTCTAGGGATGCCCGACCCCCGTGCTTCTCTCCCTGTCTCTCCCAAGAGTCACCCTGAGCCCCTCCTGAGCCAGCCCCAGCTTCATTCCCAGGAGTAGGGGCTGGTTCCTGGTGACGTTCCTCAGAGCACACAAAAGTCTTTCCAAGAGTTTGGCAAAACTCTACAGTTGAGCTTAACTCTCCCAAGCCTGCCAGGCTCTGGGTGCTGGGAAAAGCCTGCGAGCTGCTGCCCAGGCAATTCCCAGTGGAAAAAGCCCGCGGGGGACCAGGGCAGGGGATGGAGGGAGCAGCTGCTGCCCACACTGCTGCCTCCAGGAGGGCTCCCTGGGAGATGCAGCAGCTCAGGAACAACACGGGCCGCCCACTCACGCTGGTGTTCCTCTTGGATTTCACGTAGGTGCTGATGCAGGAGGCGATCTCCTTGGACACACACCTCTCGTGGACCGTGTACTTGCAGACTGGCAGGAGAGGAGAAGGTGGTGAGGAGCACCCCGAGGCACGGGTGCTGCCCCTTCCCTGCTCACCCTGCAGCACCCACAGGGCTCAGCACCGAGGGGGGCAGGGTCCCCTCCCAGCAAAAGGTGGGAGCCACTGGTTTGGGGGTGTTGGCAGGCAGGGGGATCCCCAGCTCCCAGGAGCAGCAGAGGCCCTGCTTGCGGACCCCCAGGAGCATGGTGCGGCAGAAGTTGCAGTAGGCAGGTTTCTTAAAGTGCTTCAGCCTCCAGGCATGTTGTCCATCATCCTTCACATTCTGCAGGGCAGGAGGGTCAGGGATCACTTCCCCCACCACTCCGCTCAGCCCACCCTTGCCACCGGCTTTTCATCCCATCAAAACCCTCAGCACGTCTTGGGGGAGTTTGATCCCAGCAGGATCACGGGCTCCCCCTGCTCCTCTTCTCCCCAGTGTCCCTAAAGCATCCCTGCCCACCCCCCAGGCCCCAGGGACATCCTGGCACTCCTGACACCAAGCTCTGGCTCCTCACAGCCCCTCAGCACGGCCTGGCCACGGGGATGCTCTGCTGGTGGCCGAGGTGACTTCGCACCTGAGGCCACCACCACCACCATGGGGTGACCAAAGCAAACATCTTACATCTGGATCCAGACACGAGTGCTTTGGAAGGGCCACTTAAATTTCCCCATTTTCTTCAATCTTCCTGCCAGGACACCTGCCTTCCCTCCCTGCCTGGGGTGCAAACACCAGAATGGGCACCAGGGAGCAAAACCCCAGATTTTCCTCTCCAGAGCTGATGACCAGGGATGCTCCTCAACAAAATGAAGCCGAAAAGATGAAAAAACAGCACTAAGAGGGGGTCCCAACCACCCCACCTCTACTCTGAAGCTCACCCCAGGAGAAGAGCTGGCATTTTAGGTGCTTCTTTTAACTTTTTGATGCAATACTCATGGCACCAGAGCACCCTGCTCTGCCAAGGAGCCAGCCCAGCCTGCTCGGGCACTGCAGCTGGCAGGGGTGGCAGCTCCAAACTGAGCTTGGAAAGATCTGGGGGGTGAAGGCTGGTCAGCAAAGCAGGGTGGGGGGCTGTGCAGAGCCAGAGGGGCGCACAGCGCCTTGCCCGGGGGGGTTAGGGTGCCCTCCCGTGGTCCCTGCTCACCCTCCATCCCACCCCTCTTCTCCCAGCACCGGGCTTTCCTGTGGGAAGAGGCAGGGAGGCTGGAGGCAGCAGCAGCAGGTCCCAAGGTGAAGACTCACCGTTTCCATCCCCAGCAGGACCAGCAAGGGGATAGTGGTCATGCCCCCCCGGATCCACTCCTCCAGGGTGACAGTCCCATCGTGGTCGTAGTCGATCTCCTCCATCATCGCCTTCAGGATCTGGAGGAGGGAGGGAGGCACAGGGATGCTGGCCGGGAACCCCAGCTGCCAGCTCCATCCCAGCCCCCCTGGGGTGTCCCCCCAGGACCTCCCCCAGCCCTGACACTCACGGGTTTCAGCTCAGTGGAGTCCCACTCCAGGTACTCAGCCACGTGCACCATCTGGTTGATGATACGATCCAGCTCCTGAGCACAAAAAGGATGATGGTGCCCAGAGCTCAGGGACAGGTTCAGGCACCAACAGAGTGTCCAGCCCCCCCCAGCCAGGGATATACTAAGTCTACATCCCAATATTCCCAAGGCTGCTGCAGGTCCCCATCCACACAGGGGGCCAGGGACACCCCACTCCTCAGTGGGTGCTGCTCTCTCCTCCGAAAATCAGCCCTGGGTTTGTCCCTTGGAAGAGCTACTCTGATCAAATGTTTGGGGTTTTTTTTCAATTTACAACAGGTTTCAAAGGAGACACACAAAAGGACAAAACGAGAACACCCCTGGGGGTGGGGTGGTTGTGCCCCAGTTGCCCTTTTCTGAAATTCTACCCTGTGCAGGGCTACAGCTCCTGGTGGGTGGGTTTCCTGGAGCTGCTGGGTGCTGCACCCCCTGCCTGTCCCCACAGCACATGCTGCTGCCTTGGCCTCCCCCTCCTCACTGAGGAGGGGGAGCAGACATCCCAGTCCAGCCCTGTGTATCTCCAGTTCCCCAAATGGCCCTGGGTTCCTCTCCCAAGGGAATGCTCACCGAGCTGTCCAGGAGGCCGTTCCCATCAGTGTCGTAGAGGCGAAACATAACTGGAGGGGGAGGAGAAACCAGTGACAGCCCAGCCCTGGGGCACAGTGGGTGGCTGGTGCCCAGTGCCAGGCTGCTGGAGCTCCAGGGTGGGAGCAGTGCTGCACCAGCTTGGCCTGGACCTGGGCTGTGGGGTATCAGTGCCAAGGCACAGCCCCATCCAGCTGCCCCTCTGCTGGGTGTGGGTGCCAGCAGGCAGGAGCAGAGGAGCAATGCTGAGCAGTTTTCCCAGTGTTTCAGCATTCAGAAGTCATCAGGAGTGCCCAGCCTTGAATCCCATCTTGGGTGACACCCCTCCCACCCCCCCAGGCAGTGCCTCCCACCACCAGTCCCACCTCCATGCAGTGTGACCAGCAGCCCACGGCCCCAGGATCCCACTTACACTCCAGCTTGTCCTCTGCCCGGCCCCTCTCCAGCAGGGACAGGTAGCAGACAATGTCCTTCAGGTGGACCACCTGAGCCAAGGGGGCAGGGGGCAGTGGGGGGGCTGCCTGCTGGGAACTCTTCCTCAGGCTGAAGGGCAACCTCTTCTCCACACTCCTCGTGCCTGCAAGCAGGGAGAGGGGGGATAAGGGCCATGTGCACAGAGCTGGCCATATGGGCCAGAAGCTGCCCCCAGCTGGGACATGGGGCTGGCAGGATGGCAGCTGTGGGGCAGGGACCCACTCAGGGTGGGCAAGGCGTGGAGGATGTGGGGCTGGGTGCCACTGCAGGAGCAGGGCTGGGCACACAAAGGGGATGTGGGGCTGGGACACATGGCAGGGCTGGGCACAGAAAAAGGGGACGTGGGGCTGGGACCCATGGCAGGGCTGGGCACAGAAAAAGGGGACATGACAGCAGCTTCAGTTTGCAGAGTGCAAGTGTCACGCCTCTGGTAACACGCAGGG